CCAAGGGTGCCCTTGAGCTACCTGCATCCAAAACAGGCTCAGACTGGTACTGAGAGATTGGGCTTGCAGGTGCAGGCCTGTCTAGTACAACAATTTATCCGAGTGTGAGCTCTGAGTCTCATCTGGTCCAGCCAACTCCCCATCATCCTCAAACTCTGCGCTATCAGTCCCACCGAAATGGTCGGCTTCTTGTGCACACCTGGGAATCTCACCAGAGCATGCACACATGACATCTTTCCATTTAAGACTGTGGATCCTGAAAACATGTGGTCTCTTGATCCTTGTCCCTTTTAACACATTAAACTCTCAGATCCTTTTGAGGTTCCCCATCCATCCAACCACCGGTCTAGAATTTTTCCTTCTTGTATTGTGGCAGCAGGACACGTTACGGTTCTGTAGGAGTGCTTCCAATACCACTGCTCAGCAGGCCCTCTTAGATCTGAGCTGATGGAAGAAGATACGATGCTAAGGTACCTTCATGCTAAGAGCACCTTGACTGGGGCAGCTCAGGATTTCATGGTGTTCAGGACAACCATTGGACTATCCCAACATGTCATTGACCCAGTGCTCATAACAGGGCACACTCTACACCTCTGCCTTGGGCAATGTGAAAATGGGGGACTTCAGTCCCTTTTTCATGATCTAACCATTGCCTACAGAGGTTTAAACTGATTGTGCCTTTTACTTTCTTCAGGGTGAGGGGCCATTGCAACATGCTTGCTAAGCACTTCCAAGAGAATATCTCTTGCATCTCCCAGGACTGACTCCAGAATTGAATTTGTTGAATCTGGCAAGGTTCCCCCAGCATAGCTGGATATCATTTTATTGGATGAGTTTCTGGAGGAACAGCTTAAAGATGTTGACAAAGTGCTTGGACAGGTTCATGCAACCATGTCCTTGCTGGATCCATACCTATCTTGACTCATACAAGTGAGCAGAGAGGGGAGGGATTAATGCCTCTTTGTGAGAAGGAGTAATCTCATGCTGTCTGAAAAAGGCAGTGGTGAAACCACTCCTCAAGAAGCCACCCTGGATCTAGAAGATCCTAACAACTTTAGGCCAGTGGCAAAGGTTCACTTCCTGGCAAAATTCTTGAGCAGGTGGTAGCCAACCAGTTCTAGGCACTCTTAGATGAGACAGGCTGAATTCATTTCAGACAGGGTTCAGTCTGGCACAAGCATAGCTTCCATCTATGTCAGGAAAGAGATGAGGAAATTGTGACCCTGCTGATACTCCAGGATCCCAGCAGTTTTTGATACCATCAGTACAAATTAGGCAGGCATGGCACCAAATATTCTGGGCATGCAGCACAGAAGGCAAAGGTACTTGCTCCAGCAAGCTTTTCTACAACTGCGATCTTGTCTTCAGTATCCAGTAATAATGCACAGTATTTCATTACAGCTCTATACTGTATTGTTTTGGATATCACTTGACACAGTCATTTAATGTAAGCAATTCATAATTATAATAAGCAAATCATCTTAAGTGCAAATATAAAGGTATATATTTTGAACATATTTTCTTTGACCATCTATGCCTTTTTTGCTGCCAGGAACACATAGCAGGAAGTAAGACTTATCAGGAAGCACAATCATTCCTCCAAAAGTGGAAAGGCACCCTAAAAGAACACCTGCCAAAGTGACAGCGTTCCACAAAGGGTATCCAGCATTTGGGTAAAGTATAACCAATCTGAACAACGCTACAGATTGAATAGGTACTGCGCTGGCCTACAACCTTTTCTCTTACTTCAGAAAACAAAACCCTGCTAGCAATTTTCTCAATTTTCTTCAGTACGTTCCCACCCAATCCCATTATTTCCTGGCCTTATGAAATGTTCTGTTTATTTCAGGGTATTACACTGGTTCAGAACTAATCAATTTTGAATCATTTTCTAGTGAGGTTTTCTTCATTCTCAGCTGGTAGGCTATGGTTTGTTTTTATAAGAGTTTTCTTTTTCTCTCTCTCTAAAAAGAAAGGACTTAATGAATATTAAGAACGAATATATTATCCTCAAATGCCTCTAGGAAAGTTCGGCACTTTCCAAAAGCTAATGAATTATGGATTTTGAAGAATTAAAATTCTCTATAGAGAAGATACTGCCATTACAGAAAAATCTGTGGACGCTTTCAGGGAGAATAATGTCCATGCTGCAGCACATATGATATGTTCCTAGAGTGTAGGGCATTGCTAGTATTTGCTTGTTAGCATGGAAATATATCAAGAAAGAAGAGCCTCTTATTCCAGGCAAATTTTTTATTCATTTTATAGAGAACCACGGAAGAAAGAGGTTGCAAATAGGCCCATTTATATCCCAAACACATTACTTAAATGTAGTGCAAGAACAAGAGATATTTATTAGATGCAATCACCAAGACATGCCTATTTGCACGTTGCTCGGACACTGGTTTCTACAAATGTATTTTGAAAGCTTCCAGCCATAAGGAATGTGGTGAAGCCAGGCATGAATAATCATGGATGTAACTCTATTGATTGCAGCCTTGATGCTCATGAGCTTCCTAACTCAGAAGTTTACATTTAAGAGCTGGGAAAGAGGCAGAGACAATTTCCACCTTTCACTCCTTCTGCTCAGCCATCCCGCTGCAGTGCTTTGGTGGCTAATTTATTGTTAGCCACCTTGGCCCCCATTTTTGGTGGAAAGACAAGAAAGAAATAAAATACAATGCTCTGCAAGCAAAAGCTTATGGCTTCCATCTGTGACACCTTCAGGTAGTCCCAGGAAGGATCCCCACTTCTGACACCTTGGACCCACTGCCAGTCAATGCAGTCAATCATGTACTACAGAAATTATTTTCCTATTCAACTACAACATAGATAGTGCATTAAAAATGAAACTCAGCGGTCAAAACACAGAAAAAATAAATCTTCAGACATGTGCTGAAACAACAAATAAGTGTCCCAAGAACCTGAACTCTCACTGTTTAGGAGAGTCTAAACGTTACTCAAAACCCTTTTATGCAGCAGTGAACAGCTGAAATTGCAGTGCCACAAAACGTAGTGATGGACATCAATTCAGATGGTTTCAAAGAAGGATTAGAGAAATTTATAGAGGATATGGCTATCAGTGGTGCCTAGCTGTAGTGGTTGTGTGCTAGAGGCAGCATGCCTCTGAGAACCAGTTCCTGGGGTAGTAGCAGAAAATTGCCCACAAATTATGGGCAGCTCAGATGTATAGACATGTGGCTGACTACAACTGAAAACAAGATCCTGTATTATAGAGGTCTTTGGACTAATACAGTAGTGCTCTTTGTAATGCTCTTGTGAGATACTTCTGGGTGTGTTCTCATATCATTCTTGCAGAATCTTCAAAAGCCAGCATTAGCTGCCCTCAGTGGATCTCACCCCATTCCACATCTCTGTGGGAGCCACTGTCTTGGGTGTGCCTGGAGATTGGAGCAAGGAACAAAGACCAACCAGCACCTCACCAGGCCTAGAGCAATGAGTCATGCAAAGACTAATTGGGCAGCCTCCTTATGGCATGAGCCAGTTAGCTTACCATGTCCTAGTTTATTACATTTTATATAGCCTGTAGCTTTCTGAGACAGTGACTGAACTCTTTAAGACTCTACCCACTCCTTGAGATCAGGCAAAATGTGAAAGATTTCCCAGATGCCCACAGAATGTCTCTGCAGTGAGAGTGTCTCCTCCTGATGTGGGAAGAAGAACCGGCCAGCAGGCAGCCTGCACTTCCGGGAGCACAGCCAAAAGAGCTGCTTTATACATTAGCTAGTGTGTTATAAATCACAACAGATGGGAATTATGAGTGATTTCCCCTTTCTAAGCTTCACCTCTGGGGCACAGTAATCAAGGTTACAGAAACCTGACAGTTAAACATGACACTTCTAACCTTAATACATTATATGTTGCAACAGAAATCAGATTTTCCTGGCCAAGTGTCAGTTGCCAGTGAGAGGGTATACTTGGAAAAAAAACCACTGGCAGAAGCAAGCAGGGCTGAAGACAACATACCAGCAAATTAAGATGATTTCAGAGATTCCAATCTCTCTCAAAATGATCATGCACTTCTCTTTTTCCTTCAATAGCGGTGCTTCTTTTGTTCTAGTGCACAGAATTTTTGAGTATTTAAGTGTGTGTGGAATTACAGTATTTTTTAAACCCAGGTTTAAGAATGCAAGGACAATCCTGCTGAATTAGATCATATGGTCGAGCATCTCTCAGTGAACAACCATTTGCCTCTAAAAAGCCCAGAAGAATGCTCGAAAGGAAGTACCCTTTTACAGAGGATACAACTATCAATAACTACTCATCAGCATGGCTAGGTACTACCTAAGAATTGCTTCTGTATGCCAGTTGATGGGAAAGACTGCTATTGCATTATGCCTTGCTTGTGTCCTTCCTGTGGGCAGCTTTGTGTAAACAGGATGGTGGACTAGCCTTTGGCCTAATCCTAGTTATGCTCTTAACTGGTATTCACTGCCATTATACTGTCTTTATGGACATGAAGGCTCCATATAGCCATGGTTATAGGTCCCATGGCTGATACTGTGAAGCTCTTATGTAGTTTAGTGTAGCTCCTGACTGCACATCCAGGTAACTTGATACACCTTGCACTGTGCTGTGGTTCAGTCAAGGATTAACTGCAGAGAGTTGGGTGTGGAGCACAAGCTGTGGTGTGGCTTCTCCCCATAGGCTTCGGGTATCACACATTATTCCAGTGGTTCAAGGGCGCATGACAGAGTTCAGCAGCTTTCATACCATGGAGTAAGGTAACAGCCCAGAAACTGTTCAACCCTGTGCTAGCTCATGATTGTTAATATTGATCTAACTAATAACCAACAATATACGGAAGCATTTTGAAATGACTCCTTCTGCACCAAACTCGAGATTAACAGCTTGAGTTAACTTTCCTGGCCCAGGCAATCATAATTTTTATAATGCCTAATCAACAAACACAAAATGTATGTTAGAATTGCGACTTTATACCAATAGAATTGCACTTATAAATAAAGCAATTTCCTTACCACTTTCATCCAACAAGAAGTCATCCTGATAACGAAATTTTTCAGGGCCGCATGCAATAAATATGTCATCATCACCAAAAAAGTCCTGAAGGCACATCACCTGGAATATGAAAATAGTGTAATGAAGCTGATATCTCATAGATGAAAATAGTTTCAATGCAGAATGGTTTCTACAAGGACATTCCAAATCATTGCTCTAAACAACTTTTTAAAAGAGCTTTACATTTTATGGAAATCACTATAGGATGCAAACTCAATTCAATAATGGTCTATTTAATCGAGCAGTTTTACAATTCCGCAATAAAAATTTTGATGTAGGAGTTTTGCTTTTGTGCATTTGAAAACAATACCTTATTAGTGATTAGTGGGTCCATCAATGCTTAGAATGCAATTCTATTTGACAAAATCTACTGCAGTGAACTCAAGATAACCTAAAGGAATACATGGGAAGCTAATAAGACCCAACCCACCTCCTGTTTGTTCTCTCTCTCTCTCTCTCTCTCTCTCTCTCTCTCTCTCTCTCTCTCACACACACACACACACACACACACACACACACACACACGGAGTGGGAACCGTCTATGAGCTAGCTAAGCATGGTAACTTCTGAACTTGTTGCTTTTGAAAGCAGGTACCACTGACATAGAACAAACCTCTCCCAAAACTGTAGTGTGAACTTCAGAAGCAGCATCCCATAAGGTCCAAGAACTGATTCCAAAGAGATGGACGAAACTCTAATATATGCCAATCTCTTAAAAGAGAGGCGGTAATTATCAGGCCAAAATCAGACTTCTGTCCTTAAGTTCACCATATATGCAAAGGAAGTCATTCTTCAATTTTATCAGAGATCAGTTTTTAGCAGAAAATATCTTCCTTCCTATCTGTGCAATTGCTTGCAGTATTGCCAAATTATAAATCATCATATTGTTGAAATAAAAAATATATTAAAAATGGGCAGGACTGTGATGAAATTGAAATATAGATGCCTAAGAAGGGGACGGCAGAGAATGAGGTGGCTAGATGGAGTCACTGAAGCAGTCAGCGTGGACTCTGGGGAATGGTGGAGGACAGGAAGGCCTGGAGGAATGTTGTCCATGGGGTCGTCGGACATGACTTCACAACTAGCAGCAACAACAAATCATGATCAGGAACAACCCATGAATGAACAAAAGACCTTGCGAATGCACTTTCATATAATTAGATATGAATATATAACAGTCGTTATTTCATAATAGTTTAGCTTCTTTGTTTCTTCTTATAAAGGCAAATCTTTAACTGGCTACTACACAGGTGGTACAAGTAGAAGACAATATATCGTTTGGGCTTTGATTCTGAGAATTTGCTGCAACATATTAGAACTATGTCAACTATACTAAGGAAAACAGCTAAAGTGCAAAATACAGATTAGATGAGATCTAGTGTCATATAAAACAGCTATATCCTACAGTCATTTTATTTGACTCTCTAGCAAAAATATAGCATTTCTTCTGTCTTCTCTTCTGAGCAAACAAATGGAAGACAACAGGTGTATAAATGTATATATGGCCCCATATGAGATCCATAATAGGACCACAAAATGTATGACTTAGAGTCATTCATTGATTTAATAATTTAATTGCTGCAATGAGATTGATGGACTTTCTACACATCATTTTTTCCAGGGATATCCCCAGTGTGTTATTCCAAGAAGCAATGGAAAAAAAGAAAGATTAAAGATCACATTTCCTTCTATCAATACATGGTAACTTTGTTTATTAAACTATATGGTCTCTGCCTCCTTTTGTACCCTGAAAAACATTCAGATATCACATGTAGCATCCTTATTACTTCTGCAATAATATTTGGGAGACAGAAACAAAATGAATTAGGAAAGAGATTGTCATTAAATCAGTGTTTTGCAGAGCTATTGTGGATACAAGTGGGAATGTCCAAATGGATTTAGATCGGCTTTAAAGACAACTCATAGGGCTTGATAGAAGCAGATTTGGGGGTGGGGTGGGGGGAGTTTATTTCCTCTGTGCACTGAGTCTCACACTAAGAGACTATCAGAGTGAATTGGTGCCCTTTGTACCCCTCCTACAACCCCATCCAGCATGCATGCAATCACACCCTAGCCAAACCATAATGTTTCAGAGAATTCCTTTCCATATGAAATATTCTAAAAGGATGTTTCAAAAAACAAAGAAAAGATCAACTAGGCAGATCAGCATTGGCCTTCGTGGACCCATTTCTTGCTGCTCCCATCACCTGATCATTATGGGGTTGGAGTTAGACTGTGGCCCCATACATTTTTTGAAAGTTAAAAGATGAATATTACAACACTGGAAAGCTACTTGTTCACCTTTTCTAATGGAATGGATTGAACCCTTGCTATGCTTTCAATGTTTGAATGGATGGCGTACAGTTGGATGACCACTTGAAGGGATACATACAAAGACAGTTGTTCCGCCTTTGCTGAAGGTGATGTATAATTGATACATTCACTTTGTTCATGTGTGTATCTCTTTTTCCTTTTTATGATTTTGTTGAAAATCATCATTGTCTTCAAACTGGATCAGAAAACATTGCCCAGAGTGGATTATCCCTGCTTTATATTTGGTAGTAATTTGTTTTAATTCAGCCATGAGCTACCATTTCACTGTGCAAATCATCTTGCAGAAAGCCAGGGCAACAATTAGGTTTTGTTAAATATCCTACGTGGCTTCGCTGCACTGTTTGGTTGCTTTGACTCAAGATAGCCAGGCATAACAAACTCCTCAAAGAGGGAATGTGTTTTTGAAACACTTAAAACACACTTTAAAAGTAATAGTTTGTGTAATATGAGAAACACCAAAACAAAGATGAGCTATTTGTCTATAAAGAAATTAACAAAATATTAACACTTTAAAAATTGCAGAGACAATATTTGGAATCATTTCCTGAAGTTCAACACATCACACATCTTCCATTTATTGTCTTTGGCTCAAAGTCTTTTATTTACACCCACTTCATTAATCTGTCATTACACATACAGCATCTTCAGGGATCAGAGTGCCTAAAAAACCAGTAATAATGTGCCATGGACAAATATGTGCTTCCTCCTTGCACTTCTGATTCAAATTACCAGACATGGATTTAGTCAGAGGCATTAAAAGTTGTTTACTGTTTACATAGTTCTCTTTTGTTTTAAATCCTCCCCAAAAAATTAACTTCAGAAATTTCATTCTTTTTCTGTTAGAAGGAAATCACCATGGTGACATATGCATCATCAAACTGTGAAAGGTTTTTCAGTGAAGTAAAGGCTTTCATTTCAAAAGTGTGTGTGTGGGGTGGGTGGGGGGTATGGTTTAAATGGTTTTCGCAAGAGTGCCCTCTGTAAGCTAACAGGAGCCTCCGCTCAGTTCAAGCCAACAGAAGCCATCCAAGAATTGTGTTTCAATCAGATCCATGTGTCCCCTTCGGGCCTAATACCCCAGGAATAACACACAGCTGCACAGCACGCCCCATTCATCTCAGCACAAACCAGACTTCTGGTCATCACAAGCCAGGGGCATCCTGTGAAGGCGCCCACGGGGGGTTCATTACTAGGATAGACAAATGGTACAATATACCATGAAGGAAACAGCCACATCAGAAGTCCAAAAGGGCATTCCTGGTGTTCCATGTCATGCATTAGCTGCATGAATAATTGCATCTTTTAATACCTGAAAGACAACTAAAGGTCACATTTCATTTACATTACTCATACATGTGTTGTGTATTCATTTCAGGGATTAGCTAACATGGTAATGACATTACCTTTTATTGCTGCTTGTGGGGGAGGTAATAAAATGCCCCAGGGTAACAGCCAATCGTTTTGGTAAGAGGGAGAAAAACTATTTGGCAAAATGTGCTGCTTGCTGTTGTATTTGGCACCCATCCTGCATAAGGCGCTTCTCTCAGTGCCAAATCATTAACAAGTACAGCTATTGCAACACAAATAGTATTTAGTTGTTCTATGATTGGAAAAATATCCTGAAGGAGGAAAAAACTACCAGAAGAAAGCCGATCCAGCAAAAGCCACAAAATTTCATAATTCTCTTTTGATATACTTTGGCATAACTCAAGATGCTGTCTGGGGAATTTTATAATCAGTTTTATAGACTATAGAAACTGCTTTCTCCTTGAAATACGTATGACTTCAAACAGACAAAAAACATATCATCTTAAAATAAGTACCTGGAATATATATATTAAAACAAACAAGTAAACACAGAACTGAGGATCCTTCCCCTTTTTAATGCTACAGGCTACGAAAAAACAGGGAAGGAATGTAGAGAATGTATTATTTTGTATGGTTCTGCATCAGGAAATGTATACCACATTTATGCACTGGAGAATTAGGTGGATTATAGAAGGAAGAACCAAAGTAGGGAAATCCGTGTTCAATTTTGTGCATCCTCTAGGAAGCAGCAGTAGCCCAGTGGAGGAGCACCAGGAGGTCTCAGGCTTGATTTCTGGCATATCCAGGTGGGGCAATGTCAACAGTATGGGGCCAGAAATACCAGCGGTCTGAGCTGGCCTGAGGTGGTCTCTCTGTTGCCCATTCTGCCCTGCAATGAATGTCACTACTTCATTCAGACTCATAGTTTCCCGTTATGACTGCTCATTTCCCTGCCCACCGCCATTGCATTTCTCTCTCCTCTGCTTCGTAATTTGAATCCAAATGTTCTCCCTGCTGGGATGACCCCACTACAGAAAAATGATTTTGGGAGGCAACCACAAATATAAATAAGAGTATTTCATGAGGCTTTTCCTGTTTTCGATGCTGAGCCCTTTGTGTCCTCCCCCAGTCCCCCTGCAAAATATTTGACTAATTCTTGTAGGCACTGTGGCTTACAGTCCAATAATTTCCACAAGAACTGCACAAGCCACAAAGAAGTAAAGCCTATAGCAGCAGCAGCAGCTCTTTGTGGAGTGGCCCACAGATATTTGCTTTTTAGCCTCCCAGATGTTGCTTAGACTCTTTTTATCATCATTAAAGTAAAGGCGAATTGCCATCAACATATCTTACAATTAGCCCCCCAAATGCTTCCTCCCAATTGTGAGCCATTTGGTCACGTCCATCATAAAGTTCCTCTG